AAATTGTCAGGTAATTTTAACAAAAAAAAAATTAAAAAGTAGTAATATGAAAATCGAGCTAATTTGAGGTAATTTAAACATATTTAAGCCTTTTATAAATGTAAGGTTTAAATGATAACTTTAAAGCACATTCCTGAAAATAATTACTACCAAATTAAAACATATTCTTATGTTTTTAAAATAAAATTTCCTACTAATTGTGCAGCAATGACCTTAGGAAATTATTGGTACCTTAAACACATAAAACTCAGATGATGCAATAAAATAAACATATGCTTATAATTTTAATTTTTTTCTGTTACCACGAGAAATAACCAGAAAAAGAATCCAGTTCTATTTTCTATCTTTTGAGGTAAAGAGAGTCAACCATAAGAGATAAAGCATTTCAAACAATCATGTCAATTTCAGCTCAGTTATACAATTGAAACTCGACAATGAGGAGTGACTGAGAGAAACATTAAAGTAGATGAAGCATCCACAAAACATTGAGAAGGAAGAGGATATTCATGTCAAGGCTAAAATAATTTGACTATTATTATCTGATATCAAAATGAAATTGAGTACATTTGACTTTTAATCAAAACCAAAACCATAGTGAGCCCATTACATTGTTTATCTTCTTTTTCATGTGTAACTATAAGCAGAAATAAAGAATACAACAAATAAATAAATAATGTCTGGTTGTCAAAAAAAAATATATAAAATAGTTTAATGTGTACCTAGAAAACATCTCACTTAGTTTTAGTCTTACAATATGCCTCTAGCAATCATTTCTCGGAGAAGTTTTTCAGCCTTGTCATTCTCATCCTTCTGAAAGAGAGCACGGATAATTATTTCAAAAGTTATAGCATTAGGAATGCAACCATTATCTTCCATTTTTGACCACAAGGCCAATGCTTCATCAAGCAAGCCCTCATTACAAAGCCCATTGATCATAACATTGTATACAGGGACATCTAGATAGCCTTTAATCAAAAGTTCTTGAAAAACTTGTTTTGCATTCTTAAGTCTACCCCCTTTGCATAGTCCATTGATAAGTATTGTGTACGTGTACAAATTTGGACGAATTCTCTGGTCATTCATTTTCTTTAATAACCCAAGTGCCTTGTCAAGATGATGGTTTTTGCATAAACCGTCTATTAAGGAGTTATAAGTGATTATATCAATTGGTTGACCTCTATCACGCATCTCATCAATAAGATCCCAAACATAAGATATTCTCCCCGATTTGCACAAACCATCAATAAGAGAATTGTAAGTCACTGTATCAGGAACCATATTTCTCTCATGCATTTCCTTAATGAGATTCATGGCTTCATCCATCCTTCCAATCTTACATAATCCATTAATCATGATATTATAGCTGTAAACATCAGGGGTCATTCCCATTTGAGCCAAAGTGTTGAATACATATTTTACATTCTTCACTTTGTTCATAAGGCAATACCCTTCCTTACACAATGCATCAACCAATATATTATAGGTATAAGAGTTCGGGTTGACCCTTTTCAATACCATTTCATCTAAAAAAACCACGCGCTTCTTTCAGTCTCTCCTTGATGCAAAAGCCATAGATCAGACTATTATAAGTGACAATACTAGGACAAATTCCCTTGACGACCATTTCAGAATACAAATCACAAGCCTCATCCAGAAGTTTATCTTTACACAAACCATCAATGATCGTGTTGTACATTACCACATCAGGCTTAGCCGACCGCCCTTCGATCTTTCTCAGCAACCGGATGGCAGCCCTTGATTCTCCTATCTTACACAACCCATTGATCAAGGTCCCATAACTAACTTGGCTCATGAGAAATCCTTGTGCCACCACCTTGTCATGAAAGTGCAGGGCTTTCTTGACCTGCCCCTTGAGACAAAGCCCTTTCATGAGTGTGTTCAAGGTTATGGTATTAGGCTGGTAACCCAATTTGAGAATTTTGCTCAATACAGAGAAAGCCAGGGTCATTTGACCCATGTGGCTGAAACAGTTGATGAGGATGCTCAAGGAAACAAGGCCAGGCTCAATACCCTTGAGCTCCATTTGTTTGGAAAGTGAAATTACAATAGGGTACTGCTTCATCCTTGCGAGGATTCCTAAAATTTTGCAAAATTGGGTGGTGGGTGGAATGGGATCCATGTGGAGCATGTTATTGAATTGGGAAATAGCATCATGAACATTGTCAAGTAATGGGGGATGAGAGTGGAAGCAACGAAGGGAAGTAAGGTTTAAAGCATTAAAATTGGGAATGGAGAGATATAGAGAGTACCTTGAAGTTCTTGAGAATGATAACATTGTTGTGTGTGTTTGGTTGGTTTGTGTGAGAGAGATGAGATTCAGATTCAAAGTTTGTTTTGCTTGACCTCAGCTTCAGCGTAGCAGCTAGTAACGATGGAGGGTATAACAGCATCTCCAATTGGGTATGTGTGCGATTTGAGTTTTCTACCTTCACCATTTTGACTGTATTAGGAGACAGAGAACATTCATATTATGTGAGTTTGAATTCTTAAAATATGAAGCTGAGTAGTTGAATGATTTTTTTAAAGATACTCTAACAGCATAATTAGATTAGAACGGATTTGACAGTTGAATGTCATAAAATTTAGATAAACTTATTTTTAGATAAACTTATTTTTGATTTTTTAAATTTAAAATTGATTTTTTTAGTTTATATAATTTTAAAAATAAAATTTAATTTTTATAGTCAAATTTTATTAAAAAATTTATCAAACATAAATTTACATATTGATGTCTTTATTAATAAAAATATTATATTAAATTTAGTTGATGATAAATTATTATTGAATAAAATATGTTATTAATAATTTAAGAAATTTAAAATATATTTAATTTTAAAATAAAACATAATAAAATAATATCTGAAAAAATACGTCCGGTCTAAACATTTAATAAATTAAATTTTATAATACAATGCACATGTTAAATTGTTATTAAATATAATTAAAAAATAAATATAAATTATATATAAAAATAAATATTATATTTAATATATAAGTTATATATAAATTTTGTATGAATAAATGTTTAACACAAGTTATTTTTATTTGTTAATGATTTTATTTAAAAAATATTGAAATT